TAGCATCCAACTACATATCAGCAATCTACGCAATTTAGTGATGTGGTGCCCCGGCTCTGCACGCGTACGCGCGTGGCCTTTCGCTACTCAACGCCGGTGGCTGTGCAGCGACCTCGCGCCTACCTCGGCGGTCTCGACGGCCCTTCACTCCTTCGGCTTCCTGAATCGCCCTCTAGCATCCAACTACATATCAGCAATCTACGCAATTTAGTGATGTGGTGCCCCGGCTCTGCGCGCGTACGCGCACCCGCGCATGGTCTTCAACGCCGGTGGCTATGCAGCGACCTCCTCCGCGCCTACCTCGGCGGTCTCGACGGCCCTTCACTCCTTCGGCTCCCTAGATCGCCCTCTAGCATCCAGAAGCAACGAAAGGATAGGGGCGCGGTCGAAGACCCACACGAAAGAGCAACAATATACTAAGCATATACAACGAGCGCAGAGCTTCAAGTTGCCAAGATCAATTAATGAAGAGCAAAGCTCGCACAAGCTGTCAAAGTCCTCGCCACTGAAGAGACTCGTGGAAACAAATGTGCCGTCGTCTACGACGGAGACCTCTCGCCAATCCCGCATTACTTCTCCCGTGTTCAGCATAGAGGTGCAAAAGGTGCCCAAACTAAGCTTGCGTGGCTGCAGGAGGGCCGTCCGGGATGCCCAGGTTTGTTCCTGAAAACGGGAAACGGCGTCAATGTGAGACGGTGGTGGATCGGAAATCATTACCAGGAATGAAGACGATGGGACGTCACCAAGTAACGCCCGCAGAGAGGCCAGGCGACCACCCCAGCTCTAGTATAGGATAGGAGCTTCAGGTTGCGTCAGTGTTTCATCCGACAGTTGTCCTGAGCGGTGCAGAAAGATCCAAGGGTCCGAGTTACGTACGCTCCACTGCAAAGTTGCACGCCATCATCGGAATCCCTCTGCGTTGCCAACAGAGTTGTCGCGTCCCCCAGCATTGATATCCGCGTGAAAGAAGCGGATCGCCAACCTTGCACCCAGGTCAGAAACTATCAAGTCTCCGAGCACTCCTCAGGAGGTGCTCGACTTGTATGAAAGGCTGCCGGAGAAACGGCACAGTTGCATTAACTACCAATCACATCGCAATATGCCATGGACAGCTTACCACTGGATGTCTTCGGGTTTTCGTCTAGGGAAGGTTTGCGATTGCTAACGGTCAGTGCCGATCCACACCCATCACGATGAGAGCGTACCTAGAATGATGTGTCAAGCGTTGCTGGACCGCTGGTAAAGCAACATAGACTACCGTGACACGTTACTCATCTCCAGTAGCCGAAGAAGGGTTTGAAGAGCGACAGCCGCAGTCTAGAAGTTGCGCTGCGGCATACATTCGGTCCCTTCCTGATTGGACGCGAGTAGGAGGTGGTCGACTGATATTCCCATGTCTGACGTGGGCGGTCAGTGCAGATTCGTACCCATCACAACTGAAGCGTACCTGAACGTCACATTTTGTCCGTGAGGTGAAGGTATTGCATATTCCAGCCGTCGATATCAACACCTTGTCCATCCTCACCAGCAGCGGTGGTGCCGTGCGTTGAGTGTCCCAGGACCGCTGGTGCAATATCGTGTGATTATGCCATTTAACATACTATCGTAATTCGTTACTGACCTCCAGTGGCTAAAGATTTGAAGAGCGAAAGCCACACGCTAGAAGTTGAATCTTCCATCTTCTCTGTTTCCATGATGAGATCCTAGAGTCAGCATAGTGATAGGTGAATAATCGGTTGATCAATCTCACGTGAACATTCAGGTGGTCGACATCCCTCACGATCGGATTCAGTGAGTTTGAGGCCGGCAGCCTTTATTCCGACGTTCAGATTAGTGGTACGGTTCCTAGGGAACATCAATTGAAGAAACACGCCGTCTTGTATATACGAATGAATCAGCGCGCGGTAACATCTTGTGGCAATGAGAGCTAGTGATGGACGGTGCATAGCCGTCATCAGTTGGCGAATATCATATCGTATGTGCCAAGTTCAGGGATCAAGAGCGGCGAGAGGCATGGTGCATGGAAGCCCTGTGATCGGAGTCGATGTCAGATGATGTCGATGGCGAATATACATGGCTCTGTTGAACGGACATACAAGCCCCCAGGGAAGCGACGGATGTCTTCTCATTCGGCGATAGGTGAAGGGGCGTAAACGTGCACGAGACGCGTCCACGGGATGAATCATCCGGCTCGGAATCGCTCATCTGTGCACACGGAGAGGGAGATCCCTTTCTGGAACGAAGAAAATCATTAGCGGATGTAGTTAGATGATGAATGCACATTTCACCTGCGCCTCTTTTGAACTTCGTGAATTTCATTAAGATTACGAAGTTTGTTACGACCCTTCAATCAGAATACTAGATGAGCCCACGATTGCTATTTGGGCTTATGAAAGCCGAGTTATCATGAGTGAAGAAGGTAACATGCATCCGGGCCTTTGAACATACCCTCTGCTTTGCTTCATGGAATCATGAGAAAAGAACACGACTGACCCGCGAGATTGAAGAGTGGTAAAGACGATGAGCGATGAATGAGAGCGAAGACTATAAGCAACAAACGAGAGCGACACAAGTAAGGAGCGAAAGTTGGGAAAGACGAAGATGCTTAGTGAAAGGAGGCGGAGATAAGTCACGGGACTTCGTTGATCAATCACCACACGCTTTACAAAGCTACAAGCAGTCCTCATCTTCATCAAGCTTTTCATTCTCTAACCCGCCCTCTGCCGACCACCCAAGTCTTTTTATACCGGTACCAGACCGTGCAGGTCTCGACGGCGTCCCTCGCGAAGGCAGAGAGCTCTGGCGCAAAGGCAGAGACCTTTGTCACACGGGAGGTGAGCGATCGGGCTCAACATGTAGCCTCTGTTCATGATACTGTGCAGGTCCCAACGTCGCCGCTTGCAGTAGCATGGAATTTCTCCCAACACAAAGTGGGCAGTGGAATTGGTGTGTCATTGTGTCCATTTCGCTGCACATCACTAAATCATTTGTGGTAGCGAGGCGGGCTGCATGCCTGTCCCCTTTCCTACGCGCATTTTGTGTCCGAGCATCGCGTCGTTGCCCTTCCCCGAGCGCGAGCCGCCAATGCGGTCGCGCTCGGCGCCGCTTCCACCCCCCGCCCGCCGTCCGCCCATCACCGAGCGGGAGCCGCCAACGCGGTTTCGCTCGGCGCTGCTTCCACCGCTCCGGGCGCTACATTGTCACGCCCTGGCAGGAGCACGGCAACGTTCGCGCGTTTTGCGTGCCCACCCTGATATAACCGAGATCGGTCATCTTGTGCGTTGTGTCTCTGCACCTTTCCACACCCTGAGAGCGCTGATCGTATG